CATAAGAGTACGTTTCAATTATCGTTGAACAATTATCTTTTTAACATTTTGTTGGATTATGAAAGTCCCACATCGGCTAATTTAGGGAATGATCATAGGTTTATAAGTGAGGAATACTAACTCCATTGGTATGAAGCATTTTGGGAAGCCCAAAGCAAGTCATGAGAGTTTATGCTCAAAGTGGATAATATCATACTATTGTGGAGAGTCGTGTTCGTCTAACACATTAAATTTATAAGTACGCTAAATTCTTAACACCATCATTTAGATAAAATCAAAGCCCGTAATCTTTGAAATGGTATTACCAACGACTTAAAAAATAACCCATTTAACCTATAATTTTTTTAAACATTTGTTTTGATATTTTAATGGGACTATATTTTGATGTATGAATACTTGTTTATTATCATTTTCGACTTTTATTATTTTTAAAACTATTATTTTTAATTTTTAAAATTATACCGACACTTCAACTCAAAACTCTTCAACAACTAGAAATGATATTGAGTGAGTTACGTTCAAATTGATATTATCTTTTAAGAAAATATAAATAATAAATTAGAATTTAAAATTTTATTAATAACTAAGAATTTTTATTATTTTTAAAACTATTATTTTTAATTTTTAAAATTATACCGACACTTCAACTCAAAACTCTTCAACAACTAGAAATGGTATTGAGTGAGTTACGTTCAAATTGATATTATCTTTTAAGAAAATATAAATAATAAATTAGAATTTAAAATTTTATTAATAACGAAGAATATTATAAACATTTTGTTATTTAATTTGGGTGCAACCAACCAAGGCCATGACTTAATCCAATTTGCTATACAGATTGTAAAGTTAAACAACTTGGTTCCCTTTACAAAAAGCCATCAATAATGCAACCTAACCTATGCCCATTTCATAAGCTTTATCGACCGTATTAAATAATAATTATTATTAAAAAAAACTTAGGATAACAAAAATAAATAATTATTGAGCCAAGAGGGACAACATTTGAAAATGATGGCATCAACCCCTCCATTCATTATTTAAATAGCAATATTAAATTAAATAATAGCTAATAGTTATGATGTTCGGGATTGGTTAGGGTTTCAGCATTTTTTAAACATAATTTAATTGTTCGAGTACTCTTATTAAATAATAATGAAACTACCAAACTTATCATAAATAATTTCCATAATTTACTTGAATATTTATTTATTTTTAAATATTTAATTAAAAGTTTAATATAAAATTTAAAAAATTACTTTCTAGATAATAAATAATTATATTTAAAATATGAGATTACATGGTCGGCTCAAAACTTGGCGGCCTCCAGAAGGTTGGAGTATTTAAATTATAAAGTAACTCTAATTCTCAAATGTGTACGAATTTTGTCCCATTATGATAAATATTATTCCACCTTACATTTAAAATTCAATTCATTCTAGAAACAATTTGAAATTTCTAGCGCTTCCAAAAACTTTATATTATAATATATGGTTGTTTATTTGGTCACAATAATGGAAAGTTATTCAATATCCTTAATTTTTATTCATACCTTATTCTAATTCATGCAATAAATTATTATTGTCCTAATATTATTATTTTTTATATAAATTTTCATTTTTTTCGTTCACTTAAAAGGTGTCGTATCAACGTCGAACTTGTTTATACTATAATGTATAAATATGATAAGAAAATAATTATATTATTATTTAGTAGAATAAAGGTTGGGTGGGTTGAATTTTTTTTGGACTAACTCGAAATTTGACTCGACTAATTTGAATAGAGTTTACAACCCAATCGAGCTCTCATTTTGAGTTGGATTAGGTTGAGATGTCTGATTCTTTTAATTTATTTAAAAAATATTATTTATCTGCGTCCATGTTAAAGTAATAATTAAAATTTTATAAAATTCAAATATCAAATATTTATAAATAAAAAATATTACATTTTAAAATTAGGGTTGAGTTGTAATTCTATTTTTTTTCTTTATTATAAAATATTATATATATATATATATATATATATATATATATATATAAAAGAGTAAAAAATATATAAGGATGAGTAGGAGTAAATTATTAAAATAAAAAAAATAAAAAAATCAAATTGAGAATAACCTAATAAGTGAGTGGTCATTAGATAAATTGAACTAAGTACAAACCCAAAAAATAATTTCGTATTTATTTAATTTAAGAAAAAGTAAAATATTTATAAATAAATAAAAAAAAAAAGGAAAATTTCAAAGATAATTAAATTTATATGATTAAATTAAAATTGAAATTAGTATAAATAAAAAAAGGCTAAAAAATCAGCCCACGTGGTGTGTGTTAAAGCCCAGCCCATAAGCCCACTTTGTAAAATAAAATAAAAAGGAATTAAAAGAAAGAGAAAAGCCTTATTATTTCTACCTTCTATGCTCAACGCCATTTAATATTTATTCTTCTTTACGGCGTCTCCTCCTCCGTTTCATCAGCTGACTGTCGCCGCCGTCTCTCTCCCGTTGACTGCTGCCGTCGCCGTCGTCTTTCTTCCTTTCGTGCCGCTGCAGCACTATTCCATTGTTGTTACTGGTATTCTCCCATTCATCATCTATGTCTTTCTTCTTACTACGCACGATTACAACCTCTCTAATGAAAGAATGGAGTTGTTTGTTTATTTTATTGTTTCTTTAATAACAATATGCGAATAGCAACGAAAGTAGAAACAGCCTTTCTGCAAATTAGGATGTGGTTTGTGATTGACTGTTCTGATTCGGACATGAATTAGTCATCGAATTCTCTTTTAATTTCTAGCTTGATTCATTGGAAGAAAAACTTCAACCTTATATAAACATAGGAAGAGAGGAATAGTTGGCTGTTAAAATGAAATTACAAAAGGAAATCCCATCTAATTATACAATATACTTCAATAAAGATGGGAAGAAAGTGTCATTTGAAATTATCAAAATATATTTCAATTCATGCTACATTGAAGAAGAATGAAGCCTCATTGATATAAATTTTGGGTGGATTACAATTTAGAGTTACGATGTTTCATTTACCTATTAAATTTAGGTTACATTTACATTATGGTTAATTTTAGTCATAAGTATTTACGCCTTTAATAGTTTCATTTTGAGGCTATATAAAACATGTAGGTTTATTTGGAAGGAGACTTGGAAAATATAGTAAAAGAAACATTTTTCTTTATCCAATGACTAAGTTTCTTTGCAATTCTATGTAATTTAAGTTGCATGTAGCATCATACAAGCTTGAGATGATCAATATTACTTGTGGAGTGTTTCGAATCTCAAACAAGTGTTTTTGTCTTGAGATATTTGATCAACATGAATCATTCAAACTAGACATGATCGATCTTGCTTGTGAAGTGATTCGAATCTCAAACAAGTGTTCTTGCTTTGAGATATTCGATCAATAGGGTAATCCAAATCTTACTCTTCTTGTATTGATTCCTTCTCAAGAAGGATTACGAAAAACTGTTCCAATTGGCCATAAGATTAGTAGAGCTATAATTACAAAAGAGGCTCTCAATTTGCATTGAAGAGATAGAAAAGTGATGGAAGTAATAAGAGAGTGAGTCTTGTTCCTTATCCAAGAAGATACGAGTTTCGCTCCATCCGAAATGATCATAAGAAGGTCTGGATAAAATTCAGTGAAAGATCCTTCTCTTCCTTGAACGGATGGCCAACAAACAAGACGGGATGAAGGTCCCTGACACCAAGGGGGAAGATAACCTGCCAACCAAAAGCTTGGAGAATACAGTCCCATAAGAATCTGACCTGTTTGCACCACATAAAAAGATGATTTTGAGTTCCCACACCACTTTTGCAGAGAACCAAGGAGAATGCCTTTGAAAGCTTGTCAAATGTATTGAGGCACTTATGGCTCAGTTCTGAACTGAAAAACTAAACCTTTTTGGAATGATGTCCTTTCCCAGCGAAGGGTATAGGTCCTTGTAAGCAGAACCTCCTCTTGAAGAAGAGCATTATTATGAGATTTTGATGAAAAGGCTCTTTGCCTCTCCAAATTCTCATAATTTGGAATAACCACCTCAGGACCCTCATTAAGGCAAGCCCAGTCCTCAATTTCTCTATCCGTCAAGTGTCTTCTAGAGTGGATAGTCCCAGATGTTATTTGAGTTTTCCACATATCAGCTACAGTGCCTTCCCTTTTCTGGGTAATAGCAAAAAGGGAGGGAAATCTGATATATATGGTTTTTATTTGCATTTTTTAAATTAAGCTAATTGGGCCAACTCTTTGAAAATTTTAGATACAAGATTGTTGTTCGTTATTGGTGAAGTTGCATGACATTTAAGGATTGAGGCTCTAAAACTGTACCAAACGGAATCAATTTACACTCTCTTCTGATATATATGTATTGAACTCATTGTAAACCCTAATTTTGAGTGCTTTCTTGTTGCAGAAACAATGAGTCTACGGCTATTTGATGGGAGCGATTCTAACGACGACAACTCAAAGAAATTAATCAGGATTATGCAAAAAAAGTTTGAGCATAATAAGAAGCGAGAGGATCTTCAGCGCTTAGAGGAACTAAAGAAGAAAGTTCTAATTGAAGACTCTGAATCTGAAAGCTCAGAATCTGAAACATCTTCCTCGGAGGAAGAAGAAGAAGACAGCAAAAAATTTAGGAAGGACCTGGAGTTCTTCAATGCATTAATCAAGGTCAAGAAGCAGGATCCGACCCTTAAACAGAAAGATGCCAAGCTTTTCGATTCAGATGATGACAACCATGAAAGACAGTGATGACATCAATAGTAGTTTAACAGAGAAGAAGAAAAGCAGTATGTACTTGAAAGATGTGATAGCGAAACATTTTATTGAAGAGGGCCCCGAATTTGATGATGAGAGGACTAAAAACATGGAGATTTATGATAAGGAGCAGGAAGAGATACGCAAGGTATTCTTTGAGGCAGCAGAAGTGCAAGATGATGAAGATGGTGAGGAAGAGTTGTTAAAAGTGAAGGAGCGATGATGATGGTGAGGAATAGGGGAAGACAAAGCTTGCTTATTGGATGTCAAAGATTTAGATGAGGATTTTGATCCAGAAGAGTATGACAAGATGATGAAGGTGGCTTTTGGTGAAGAATATTACGAGAAAGCGGACGATGCTCCTGAGTTCGGAAGTGATATGGATAATGAAGGTGATGATGATATCAAGAAACCTGATTTTGAAAAAGAGGACGAGTTGCTTGGATTGCCAAAAGGGTGGGCGTCATCTGAGTCGGGCGGGCTTCTTAGCAGCTAAGGAAAGGAGTTTAGAACATAAAATTGATAGTGATCTGAGTAATGAGGATAATGAAGAAGAGGGTGAAGAACATGGCAGTGAGGATGAACAAGGCAAAAAGGAAGAGGAATCGGAAACTATCTTTGTACACAAGCTAAAGAAGCCATGATGGAGGAATATTATAAATTGGATTTTGAGGATACAATTGGAGACTTGAAGACGTGGTTTAAGTACGCCAAAATACGACCTAATCGTTATGGATTGAGTACTGCTGAAATCATGGCATTGGATGACAATGAGTTGAATCAGTTTGTTTCTATGAAAAAGCTGGCCTCTTACAAGGATGAATGGAAGATGCCGAATAGTACTAGACAGCGCCTGAAAATGAGGACTAAGGAACTCCTAAGAGGCAAACAATTGGGTAAACAGAAAGGCAGCGTGACGAAGAGGATGAAGAACAGCTCCGACATGCACATTGTGGATAACAATGAGAATGACAAAGTACAGATTGAGGATTCAAATGGCGATAAGGGATATTTATCGAGGAAAGCCAGGAGAAAACAGCGACAAGCTGAATAGAAATTGTCAGATGCTCGGCTCCAGGGATACGTCAAGATGATCTCGAAACCTAAGAGGAAAACAAAACACTAATCATTGGAAATTAATTGCCGTGCTTTAGCAGGTGATTCTTCTTTTTAGTCATTAATGAGATAACTTCTGTGTTTTATTTCTTACATCTTCACTCCTTGCGGTGTCTTGTTATAGCAAACAAAGTACTGCAGGTTGGTTTTTTACTTTCATTATTTTGAGTCGCATTTAATTCTTTGGGATAAGACCTATTCATATACAACTTGTTATATTGTTAAAGATGGAATCTAAAAGCTTTGGTTTAGTAGAACTTGTGCTCAAACTCTTACTATTTGTAATCTTGTCATTAACCCTTCCAGGCAAACTTCATTAGCCATTCTAAGGTCTCTGAGTTTTGGAGATGGCAAAATCACAAAAAAGAACGGACCGTTTTCAGACAATGACTGGAAATCTGCGAAGGAAAGATCAGGCGGCCTTCTTCCCCATTGAGGTCAGTTTATATGCACTTCATGACAATAATTGGCTTCCCAGAATGTTATCAGAACTGCTTTGTTATCATTGTTTTTTCATATGAAATAATGGGTATTTCAGTAAAAGAAGCAAAGAAACTTGGACTTGCAAGGAGGCTCTGAAACCAGTTTCGATCACGAAGAACACAGTTTGAAGCTCACATTTCCCCCTCAAATGTGCAGGAAACAAACATAAAATCCTGGCATGATATCAACTATTTCCATTGCTTACATGTAAAAGAAAATGTTTTTGAGTAGTTGGCCTCTTAGTTAGGTGTATAAATTATCTTTAGATTTGGATAAATGTTGTGATTCTGATTAATTTTATAACATAAATTTTATTATAATTGTCTAATTATTAAGTGCAAGTTTGTAGCTTAAAATTATTTAACACGCAATTATGAGCCATCTCAACTTAAATAAATAGAAGAATAATCATCTGTAGAAGGCGTCTACACATGCGCTGTTACGCAGAACGCCTGTTCCAACACCGTAAGAGAACTGAAAATTTGAAGGAAAACCAGAAGGACGACTCTGGAAACCATAAAATTTGTGAGCATTTATTCTTCTTATTGCTTCCTTCTTACTCTTCTTTTACTTCCCTTCATTTCGGAATCGGTATAGAAAGAATCGTTAATCTACTACGTCTTTGTTTCTAATGTTTTTTTTACTACTTTAAAGGGTCAATTGCATATTATAAATTCTGTTACATTGTCTTGGGTGAAGTGATGTAACTTAGATGTGCATTTGATCGGTTGAACTTCGACTTCTGGGTGTTATGTTTGAAAGCTTTTTATCTGTTCATCACTAGGTTTTGATGGTTTGGGTGTTGTATTAGTTGAATTTTGTATGATTTATTGGTTGGTTTATGGGCCATTTTCAGATGACGCTTTGAAGTAAAAATGCTGTGTTATTAAACAATTTTGCTACTAATTTAATAGGTTTTGATGAAGAAAGTTTGATACCTTATTTTTCAGTTTATTCGGAAGCTTTGGCCTATAATTTATCAGACAAGATGGAAGCTGATGAACTATATCTTGATCTCCTAGCACTGAGGCAACTCTACTTCTTTCTCTTAAAATGCTGTTTGCGGGATGCAAATTCAGAACTTGTAAGCCTCTGTGAGATAGAACTGTCTGGGTGTGCTTTCTAGTTGAATATTTACCCATTGTAGCTTTGGTTTTATTGTCAAAGCAGGTGGTGGGTGCAAGGGCAAAGATTTTATTGAAGCATTTGCTCGATGATGCCACTACTGGACTTCTCGAGTTTCACTCGAAGGTTTGTATTCCATTCTGCATAAAAACTTCGGTAAAACAAAACAACAATTCATAGTGACATGCATCCCTATTTGAGTTTGTACAGACTCTGGCGTTTTACAACTTTCTACGCAAAGATGATAAACAGACAAAGCCACTGGACGAGAAAGTTGCTGAATGGATGGAACATAATCAAACTGCAAGAAGGATGGCAAATCCAGAGAAGATTGAACACAAACCCCGAAGGGACAGAGCTTCAGCGTCAAATGTTGCCGCTAATGACTTATCAAGTGGCATCAATTCAGCACTCAGAAGAATTGAACTCCATATTTTATCCCTGCAACGTTATACAAGAAGCCATATCAGTGAAACTAAATTAGCTTACTATGGGCAGTCTGTTAATCAAGGGAATGAGTCATTCAACCAGCAAAAAGTTAAGCCGATGGTGGCAAACCATTGTTCCAAGTTCGTGAATGGATTCAGAATACCTCTAACTCAAGACAAGGACGAGGCCATGAAACAGCACGAACTTGTGCTTCCACCGACTCTGATGGATAAATCAGGATGTCCAGAAGGATCCAAAGCAACTGCCAGGCGCGCTATGAAACTGAATCGAACTTGGATACAAGAAAAGAGGAGCAAGAATTCTCGTGGTCGTATTGTAATGAAGCCAACTTTGTGGCATCATCCCTCCAGAGAAGTAAGAAAGGAACAGACTCATCATAACAGAAGACATCTGGCGGCTCAGCAAGAATCAGAATTCACAAACTCAGAATCAGCTTCTTGTTCTAGTCCGGCAACACTACAAACCAGTGAAAGTGAAACCACTGATGATTCTTCTTCACCAGATAACCAATCCAGTCCAACGGCAACTGGTTCAGAGGCAAGTAGCCAGTACGGAAACAGCAGTAGCAACATTACAAGAAAAGCATTCAAATTCAGCCATGGGAAGAAAGAGTCCAATGGAGCAGTAGGACGGTTCAAGAGTTTAAGAAACAAACTGGGCCTTATCTTCCACCACCACCAGCACCATCAACACCACCATCACCATCATCATCACGGTCATAACTCCATGTGGAAGCAAGTAAGAACGGTGTTCCATCGTACAGATAAGAAAGAACTAACAAGTAAAGAAGAAAAAACTGGGAAGCTAAGGAAAACAACAATCAGAAGTGTGTCTCGGAATAACCAAGTTGGGAAGTTTCAAGCACTTCCTGAAGGGCTTCGAAGCCATGTATGGAAATCGAAAGCCATGAAGAAGAAAGAGCAAAGAGGGCTAAACTGTGGGAAGAAGTTGCATTGGTGGAAAATGATTCGACGCCGCCGTGGAGTGAAGTTCCCCAATAAAGGACGTGTGAAAATAGGGTATGTAAACAGAAAACCAGATGTTAAGTTAATTTAATTTTTGTGGGACATTTTTAAGTTTTTGAAACCCAAAATGGGATTTTTACCCTTCTGGGGTGCGCTTATATGAAAGATAAATAATATTTCTCGGAAAAAGAATTAAATTGACAAGAAAAGAACAGAGGCAGAGTTAGTCGGCCACCTAAAACATTGAGTTGTCCATGGACAAAGCCACTTCACATTCATGCAATGAGAAGCTTTTCACCACGTACCACTTTTCCCACCCTATATAATCAAACTCCCTTTATCACTCTTCTTCTTCAACCAAAACCCATATATTTTTTAATGGCGGAATCTCGTAATTCTCAGCACTACAAAGCCCGACAGACAAAGGATGAATTACCCCGCTCCCACAAAATCGTCAAGGCCATTACCGCAGCCACAACTGGCGGCTCCCTCCTCGCCCTCTCCGGCCTCACAATGACTGGTACAGTCATTGCTCTAGCCATCGCCACACCGCTGTTTGTCATATTCAGTCCAGTTCTCGTCCCGGCGGCAATAACTGTCTCACTTTTGATCATGGGGTTCTTGATATCTGGTGGATTCGGCATCGCTGCGGCGGTTGTTTCGTGGTGGTTTTTCAGGTACGTGGCTGGGAAAAGGCAAGATGCTGACAATGATTTGCCCGGAAAAAAATCGTATAAGTCTGGCGGCAAGGGGATACAAGTTGAAGGTTGAAAGTAAAGATTTGGTAGGTAATGTTCGAACAAAAAGTGTTTAGATGGTTGAGAAGATAAGGGGGTGGTGGTAACGATTAAAGTCAGTGGCTGTTGGATAATGTAATTTGAGGTTGGCCTAAATGTTCGATGAATAAAATAAACCTTCGATTAAATAACGATATAAATGCAGAGCTTAGCTTCATATCAGAAAGTCATTAGTAAGATAGAAATAAACCTTGTTATTCGAAACTACAAATCGTGTGGAGTGGCTCTAACAAGTTAATTTCAGTTCATGCTTTGCTTATTTCATTAGAAAGATAGAAATGTGTTATAATTATCATCGTCGTCATCAGAAAGGAAATTTGTTCTCATCCACAGCATGGCTTTACTGTGTAGGAAGGTGTCCTAAGATTATTCCTCATTTCATCACTTGATGGACATTAACACTTCAGGAGACAATAAGATAGGTAAATCAGACATCAAAAGTTTTCAAAACTGCGATTGGGAAATTTAAATTTTTTGAAGAAAAACTGGGAAAGAGAATAGCAATACTCAGAAGGCAATGGTGACTATTAGGTTCGATTCTGCCAGCAGACTCTCTTCAATGAATTTCAGAAGAGGGAGCTTTTTTATCCTCATTGTAAGCCTTCACTCTCCCCAAAAGCATGAGAAAGAACACAAAACAAAAAACAGGAAATCTTTAAAATAAGTCAACCAGATGGCTCAGTTTCGAGATTAATCGACACGCAAGATTCCAAATAGAAACCTGCATTCCGGTCTGTAGAGCTTGATCTTTCATGAAATCATCATAAAAAACGTGAAATACATCCATCGCTGGATCTCAAAAAAACTCACAAACCGAAAACGATCTATCAAGCATCAAAACATACGGGAGAACATATGAATCAAAAGCTATATTCTACCCTAAACGAAAAGAACTCGATCTCTCAAAAACAGCGGCGGATAATCTAGACTTTGTTAAAGTAATTAAGAAACGATAAAAATGAAGAACATCCGAAGGCGAAGCACGATTGGCTAGGGTATAGCTGCTATCACCGCCAAGTTAAAGAAGACGAGTACCAAGGGAAGAGAGAACCGATGATGACAACTTAAAGCAGCTTTGTGAGTTTAAATAGTGGTAGAATTAGGGCTTCTGTTCCCGGACTTTCCGGATTCAGGTGTTGGGCTCTATTCAGGATAAAAGCCCAATTCGGATTCTAGGTTCGGCCCAAAATCAATTTATTCATTTGTGTTTTATTTTCTTTTTTCTTTTTAAAAATTAAATATCTTAAATAAAATATATTTGCTCTCCCGGTTTAAAAAATTAATAAATGAAAGTAGAGTGCAAGGATGGGTATGAATTTAATTTCTAACCATCATCGTGTCACTCATCTCATCTCATCACATCAGCACATCTCAAACATTTATCTATTCGAGTTCTCATCGAGGTATAAATTCTCTCATGTCATTTACACTCTATACCAGATAATAGGTGTATATACCAACTGTCACGGTCGGACATTATCAATTATACGTTGATATGCTCACGACAAATTTTAAGGGAAAATCGACCCATGTGTCACTCTTATCATCATAACATTCATCCATCAAAGTTCTCATCAGGGCATAAATTCTATCGTGTACACGTCATGTTATTTAGTCTCCATACCAAATAGCAGGTGCATATACCAACCGTCATGGTCGTACATTTTCAATCGTGCATTGACACATTCGTGACATGACAACTTCTAGTGTGAAGGCTTCAAAACGAACTTCTTTAGATATATTTTGCATTCATTATGTTTTTCCATTAAAGAAAAAAAAAATAGTGTATTAGTATTTCAAATTCTTAAACCCCATTTAAAAAGTAATTATATTCTTAGAAATAAATTAAAATGATCAAATTCCAATCCTAATTGCTTATCAAGCAGCCCCAAGAAATCAAATCATCAAACAGTTCATATACAAGAGGCCTTAACAAAAACAAAAATTCAGAAGAAAACTTTCCTGGGAAAATTTTTCTGTCAAGAAAATGAAGATGAGATTCAGCTATGCCCAAGCTCTTTTCCTGGCAGCAAGATCTATGGTTTTTATCTCATCAATTTTAGCAGCTACAATAAAATCATTCATACTCAAACCTCCTGCAAATTCAAAATCCCAAAATTACTGACCTTAAAACTCATAGATTTCTGTATGAAAACTCAATGAATCAAGTTAATATAAGATGGTGGTTGAAAGAGGGAGAAGAATGAGTACCGATGGCTGAAGTCCAGAGCTCTGCCGTAACTTGATTCGGCTGATCCAAGTGAATATCTGGAAAATGGTTAGCGTCATCAACAGCGTTGGAGATTCTATTAATCAACTCCACACAGCATTTGAAATCCCTCAATTTCCACAAGCATCGGAGTTTGAATTGGCCTCTTCCATTATCCACCAATCTCCACCCCACGACCTATATGAAATTTCATCAACAATCGAACAATCGAACAATCGGACAATCAAAAAATCAGATATGATTACCTTCTTCAAGAGTTTTTGGGCTTCATCTTCGGGCATTGGAGCCTGCAGGGATGAAATTGGAACGCACTGTTGCTGAGAAAGAGCTAGGGCTCGGACATTGGGGATTAGAATCTTGTGCTCTGTATTGGAAAATCCAATCACCTTATCGCCAAAGTTGCTCTCGATTTCCGCCGGGAACGGGTCTCTGGCGCCGAAGTCGCCGTCGCCTACGACGGCGGCTCTGATTGTAGCCGGACGGAGTTTGCGGCGGAGGAGGGTGGTGGATGGTGACGGTGGGAGAGAGAAACGGGAGTGGGGACGGGGGAGACGGAGGAGAGGGAAGTTGGCGGTTGGGGTTGTGGCCATGGTTGATGGATAAGGACACAGTTCCAGAAGCGACCACCAATGGCTCTGGGCCTTTGGGTTCCTTTTATTTGCTTTATGGCTCTAGTGGATAGGATTTTATGGGAACCACAAACTTGTATGCAGAATAATAAAATATATAAATAATTAATTTAAAACAAAATGAGGTTCTATAGGACTCTCCACAATGTTATGATATTATCCGATATCTTCTGTATTTGAAGGTAAACTCAAGACCGAAACTTGCTACACTTTGTTGCTTACTCACTGTTGCTGCTACTCGAAAATGGTTCACCCATCAGTTGGATGTTCAAAATGCCTTTCTCCATGGTAATCTAGACGAGGAAGTTTATATGTCTTTACCACCAGGTCTTCGCCGACAGGGGGAGAATACAATATGTCGGCTCCATAAATCTCTTTATGGATTAAAACAGGCTTCTCGCAATTGGTTCTCCATACAAAATGCAGGCTACACTCAGTCCAAAGCAGACTACTCTTTCACTGCAGTTCTAATATATATTGATGATATTCTGTTGACAAGCAATGATCTCAAAGAAATGCAATATCTCAAGACTAGTTTACTCCAGAAACCACATTGGGAGGCAGCTCTTCGAGTTCTGAGGTACATCAAAGGCACTCCTGGTCAAGAACTCCTACTGCCATCTGAAAAACAATTTAAGATTACAAGCATATTGCGATTCTGACTGAGGTGGATTTTTTTAAGATTACAAGCATATTGCTATTCTGACTGGGGTGGTTGTCGAACTTCCAGACGGTCTATTTCTGGGTTCTGCAGACTAATGTGTCCAGATCATCAGCAGAAGCCGAGTATCGAGCTATGGCAAATACTTGTTTAGAGTTAACTTGGTTAAAATACATTCTTCAAGACTTGAATGTTCCACTGTCCGAACCAGCATTATTATATTGTGATAATCAAGCAGCATTACATGTAGCAGCCAATCCAGTTTTTCACGAATGTACGAAACACATTGAAATAGATTGTCATATAGTTCGAGAAAAGTTACAAGCTGGAATCATCAAACCGTGTTATATTTCGACAAAAATGCAATTGACAGATGTTTTTACTAAAGCTCTGGGAAGACAACAATTTGACCTTTTGAAGGACAAGTTGGGTGACAAGTTGGGTGTGATCAGGACAAGTTGGGTGTGATCGACATACACTCTCCAACTTGAGGGGAGTATTAAGAGGATATGTGTTCTTAACATCTTTTCCAATTCTATTTTCTATTTCTATTTCTTAACATCTTTAATGCTATGTGTTCTATTGCGTTTCTTCTGATTTTCCATCCGGTTAAATCATTTTTCCCGATTCTGTTTTCGAACCTCGCGTTACCGGCAGTGAACAGCCATTTTTTTCGAACCTTGTGGACTAAATTAGAGTTCTCTTACCAGTGATTTACATGGTAGTTTTCTGGCATTTGATTGTTTGGACGAAAGCAGTGGATGATGAAGCAATTTCTAATAATCCAACACTTGATCTGAGATAATGTATTCATTATCTGCTGATGCTACTCCTAGCTTCTGAATCTACATTCCTTGATCTTTCTATCCATCTTTCTCTACGTTTTTATGCTTAAGATGATTTTGGTACACGCTTAGTTCTTGATCTATGCAGTCCCACAGTTTTTCTGGATTCCTATGCTTTGTTTACTAGATTTAGGCAAAGAAACCTGATGCTAACTAAGAGATTTAATCTCAAAGAAACCTGAGCATCACCAAACAGACTCATGGTCGTGATTTCACTGTTGGTACAAATCCTGAGAAAAAAAATTATGTTCCTTGCCCATAGACATCTCTGGTTCTAAACAATCAAATTTTGCGTCACGATGAACATTGAAAGAGCTACTGATAGCAACACTGTTAAACAGTTAAGCCAATGCCTTGCCCATTTACTCAAACCAATAATTGAATAAAAATCTAAATCTTCTATTGATAATTTGTATCCCAGGCTTTCCTAAAGCAACAAACATCACCTTCTACAAATTTCTTCTTCTATGTTCTATGGCATTGCAAAGACGATGCAATGAATCAGATAACCTACAACATCCAACGTCCGAATCTAGTTTTCCCTCCTTTTCTCAGTCCAATCAGTATTATTAAGTTGCACTGTTTCCAATATATTCTTAATTGTTTCAAAAGTTTCTTCCAATTAGTCTTTGTTTGCTTCTCTATTTCATATTTTCTCTGACCCAGAAGTTATAAAAAAGGGGGGGAAATATTGAACGTCATATCAACCGTCAGAAATTGGTATACATTGATTTATAGGTGGCCACAGAACCAAATTGAATACACAAGGTGACTGGAAATATCTTTTAGATCTTCAACAATCAGTTCCAAATTTTGTTCTTTAAATTATCAAGATTGTTGTGATGATGAACTAAATTCTCCGACACCACAATTGTTAAAACAAAATTACAATTTTTCAAGTTCTTGAATATATGGAGTAAAATTCTTCAATGAGTCGATCTTTGCTTGAACTAGCAACAGAGGAATTCATGGTGAAAAGACACAAATAGCTTCATAATGACAAATAGGAGTTGAAAATATTAATACATCCGACTAAAATGGTCACTTCAAGGAACTCTGCATGGACGCATAAAATCCTTAAATGAAGTTTGAGAATAGGATTGTTGACCGTCCTCTTCAATGGTCTTGCACATAGCAATTAAGATGATTAAATCATCGTAGTTAAAGAAACAAATTAAAATTTATATACCGATACGTAGTAATGAAACAACAGACGTATATGTTACAGATCAAAATCTAGTTCTCTTCAATACGTTTTTGTTACTGAAACCTAATGTCTAAATGAAAAAAATGGATTGAACAACATTAACTCATTTAAATAGAAGAAGAGTGACAAAAATTGACTATTAAAAGAATGTTGAAATTAAAAAGCTTCGAGACAAGAAACAATGATGGAGATTAAAAAAAAAACTGAAATAGTATTTAAACCAGTATTTAACACGATGAAGCATTACTTTCTTGTAAGTAGTTGAAGCTTCATCCTTGAATTCATACGAATTGCAGATGCAAACGCAGTTTGAACAAAATGAAGATAACGAATATCTTATTCGATATTAGCATCTCTAAGAAAAAAAATGGAATGAAATTTCATCAGTGTAACAAAACTCAGGAACACAGTTAACGCGCAGCCATAGTGTAGAAAAACAGAGCAAATAAAAGTGAAAACGAAATTATCGGAATCCAAATCAGGCCTCAAGCAGATTGTTCACAATCATTAAGATTATCAGACAATGTAGGCAAATCAAGATATCAGTCATCACCGGCCTGATTCAGGAAAAAAAACGAAAAGACAACAAACCGAATCGTGAAAATTGGCGAGTGAAGAGATCGCTCAGTTCAGCGGGGTATTCGACACGCAAAGCCCTCTCACTCTTTCAAAAAGAGGAAAGGACTCTGCAATCCGGTCTGTTGAGCTTGAATTTTACTGAGTCGTCACTGCGATCTCCTTCACTGCCTAATTTTCAACGAAAGCAAAAATGAAATTACAGAGATAGGGTTGAGAGAGAAGAACAGATTGGATCGAAATCGAAGACACTTTGGCAATGAGGGCGTCGTGTGATTGAGGATTTATATAGTGCAGATTAGGGCTTCCCCTTCCCAGTTTTGTATAAAAATACGAAAATAGCCCGCTCCTCGCTCGTGTTACAACGGTAGCGAGAATTTTATGGACTATTCGGGAAAAAAAAAAAAAATATAGGTATATTAATAAAATATATATATATAGAAATATTAATAATTTTTTTTTAATTTTTAATTTCAATAATATCATTAATTTTTTAAAAAATTAAAAAATATCGTTATAATGAAAGATGTTGATATTTTATTTAAAAAAATAATTTTAGTTAATATCTAGTTTTAAAAGAGTTCCAATAATATTTTTTAAAAAAATAGTTTTGAATTTTAAAAAATGTTTAAAAATATTTTTTTAAAAGTGGTATATTTTTAATTTGTTTTTAAAACCAACTCTTTTTAAAAAAATTTAAAATACGCTCATTATTTGTACATGAAAATAATATTAGCCAATAAATTAAAAAGATGGATAATCTATGAGGAGTAAATAGATTATTTATATCCATATATTGATAATAATAATTTTTTATATATTTTTTATAAAAAGTTAAGGATTTAATATTATTTTTAAAATTTAAGAATATATCGAAAATAAAATATTAATAGTTTCAATAAAAATATTTTAAAAATTTTAAAAGTATTATTAAAAATTTTGAAATTTTATTAATTTAATAAAAAAATATATCAATTTTCACTTTTATCATATATTTCCTTCTAAATTCCAATTTCATTGACTAAAACAATAAATAAACAACAATATAAAATTCTCAAGAAATTAATTTTAATATAAAAACTAAATTTCGCACAAACCCATAAATCAAAACTTCACTAAAAAATGATTAATCAATCCAAAATAATCTTCAAATAAACATTAATTTTAACAAAAAATTCCCAAAAAAATGGTATATTATTATTGATGAATACAGTAAAATTCAACCATCAAGAACAGCACAACAACAAAGATCTTCCAAGTCCCCCATAATTAGTTTCAAAGCCCAGCAGTGAACGGCACGCCAGTTGCCGGCAGCCATGACTTCCCGGCGATGAAGCTCCCGACGGTAAACTTGGAAGCTTCGGCGGCGCTTGTTATCACTCTGTAACCCTTCCACTTCACTCGCTTAGCAGTGGACGAACCAGGCCCAAAGTTCTTGAACTCTCCATAATAGAGCGTATTCAGGGCAAAGTCCCCACTCCATTCCAGCCATCCTGCAGGGTTCACCAAGCTATCCATGAAGCACTGCAAGTAAACCGTCCGGGAGTACTCCCTCCATGGCCTCCCCAGGTAGGTTCTCACCGAGCTTAGCACCGGTTGGAGGTCGGCCGTGGCCATCACTCTCGAGTTGTGGATTGAGATTCCGGTGTTCTGATTTGGGTCTGATCGGCCTTGCGCTGTTACCACGCATTGCTGACCTGACATTGGTTTTCTCGCGTAGATCATGCAGTTTTGGAGTACCAC